CTGCGACACTTTTCTTTAGAACAGTCTGGCTGGACAGACTCTAACTACAAACTCACCGGAGAGCATCCCCTGGCCAGGTGGGCCCTGGGGTGGTGGGGGAGATGGCCAGGGTGGCCACCTGCTGGGAGAGGTCATTTGCCTCCTCGGCCTCCTCGTAGAGGGTCTTGGCGTAGCGCACAAGGAAGGGCAGCAGCTGGCAGACCTCCTTGCGCAGGGACGAGGTCTCCTCGGCCAGCCAGGCCCCCAGGATCCGCACCGAAGCAAACACAAAGGGCTCCTTCTGCTTCTCTGGCCCCACCTGTTGCCACGGGACCCCCGTGAGATGGAGCAGGACCAGAGACCCTCCCCGGCCGGGACAGTATGCCGGCCAGCCTAGGAATACCACAACTAGCAGGGAATTCTGGCCTGGGAGCCCTTCAAAGGGGGGGCCCCGGGTCCCCAGCACCTGGCGCATGGCAAAGACACACCCAACAGGGGCCTGGCACAGAGCAGGCCCTCGGGGCATGTGTGCTGAGGGAACTGGACTTCAGACAACATGTCCCCACACTCCCTGGGGCTCAACTCGGCCCCCCCACCTCTAAAGTAGCTCACGGCTCCAAGGTAACTCACAGGTCCAAAGCTAACTAGACACTCCCTCTACAGCAGCTCTGACCTGGGAGGAGTTAGCCGAACCTCTCCAGAGGCCAGGAACGAGCAGCCCTGCTCCTTTGCCCGGCTCTGGTACAAGTCTGTATGTGCAGGTGCATGAAACAATGCGAGAGGTTGAGCCGAACAGGCTGCTTCGATTTGGTGTGCGTGTGTACCGGGGGGGAGGGTTGTGAGTGGGAAGTCACTGTGTTGTGTGCGCGCGTGTGTGTGTACTGTGATGTGAGTGCACATATGGTGTGTGGTATGGTGCTTGTGTGGAGGCTCGGCGGAGGGAGGGAGAGGGAGGCTTGGCCACACTACTCCCGGGAGCGCTGCAGGATCAGCCCTCAGAGTGGGCATCTTGCCCTCTCTCCGTTCTGCTGCTGCTGCCGCTGCTGCCATACGGCAGTCCCCCTTTGCCTTGCCTTCCGGCCCCCTGCCCCGACCCCCGACACTAGGCTCCCTCTGTGGGCCGCTGTACCCTCACCTGCTGCAGATAGTGGATGACAGCCCCTATGGCCTCCTTCATGATGCTCACGAGCTGCACCTTCTGTGGCTCCTTGAGCAGCGACTGCTCACAGCGGGTGCATTCCTGGATCCCCAACTCCATGAGGGCGTAGCAGGCGGTCACCACATCCTCTTTTACTTCTGTGCCTGTCTCCTCCAGAGCCAGCCGTACCTCCACACACGCCAGATTCACCAGCAGGGCCAGGAACTTGCTCCCGGAGCTGCCCGCTGGGATCCAGTCGGAGCCGCAGGCGTGCGCCAGGCGGGCTGCCAGCTTTAGTGCAGGGTTGCGCTGCCAGGAGCTCAGCTTGCTGCCCAGGATGCGTGCCAGCCCGGCCTGCAGATCCCGGAGGCATTCCGAGGGCACGGTTGTCGGGGGCAGAAAGAGGGGCAGCAGTTGGCAGAGCTCGAACTTGCTGGCATCCTCGGCTTTCTGGAAATCTTCACTGAGGCCCCGCAACACAGCCAGGAGATCAGGCTCCGCCTCCTTCCAGCACTGGGTCTCAGCAGCCGCCAGCAGGCCCACTAGAAGTGCCAGGGCCTGGTCAAAGCCATAGCCGTGCCCCAGGTATGCTTGACACAGGGCGGACACGGTGCCCCCAGCAATGAGGTGCCGGGGCCCACGGGGTGTGCCGGCCACAGCTGTCAGGCACTGGTAGGTGTCATCGATCATGGAACGGCGAGCAGCATCATCCGGGTCCCCCCGGGCAGTGAGGAAGGTGCTAAGGATGGGGATCTTGTTCAGGACCTGGGGGTGGGCGGCCAGTTCAGGGTCACTGCAGAAGCAGGCCAGTAGGGCCACGCCCAGGGCTCGGAGAACATGGTCAGGGCAGCCATCTGGCGCCTCCTTGGTGGTCAGGAGACGATTGGGGAAGGTGAAGCCTACAGCGTCGAAGATCCGCCGTCGAGTTTTGGCATCAATGTCACCTGCTTTGACTGCCTTGGTCACCTAAGGGGGGGTATGTGCTATCAGCAGGATGAAAGGAAGACTGCCCCCTGCACCCTGGGGCGCTGACCGTTAGCAAGATTAGGTCATGGAAGGGGACTCGCGCTGGGGGCCAGAGGTCATTTCATCCAGCTACTTCTCTCCCCTGGGAGACAGACGGTTGTGACCTCTGGGATCCCTCATCTGTGATTATCTCCACAGAAGGGAAGTCCTGCCGTTTCATCACCTGGTCATTTGGGAAGTTCTTCCTGATATCTAATCTAAGATGCCGACAACCGGAGTTGGGCTTAGAGCTCAGTTCAAAATCTCCCATGGATTTAGGGTCTCTCCCTAATTGCTTCCCCCGGTGAAGCTTCTGATCCATTCCCGCCACCTTCTCAGGGGAAATGGCTCCTGCGTCTCGCCACTCTGCCTGTCAAAACATTTCCCCTTACATTTCACCTCAACACCTCCTCTGCTGCAGTGTGAGCCCTTGACTCTGGAGCCTTCTCCCTGTTGCCATGGCAAACAAGCAGCGACTGTACTCCCTCCTCCCTTCACCCCCCACACATCAACCCCCCCTTCCCAGCACTGCAGCTCCTGCTCTGCTGGCCCCAGCTTGGTTCTTCCAACAGGGCTCAGCCCCAAACCAGCATCCTCACCCTCGACCTACCCACTGCCATCCCGGCCATCCCCTGGGGCCCCTTCCCAGTTACTTCTGGTTCTGCTACTCTCTCCACCCCCAGAGCAATCATCCCCAGCCCTCAAGTACTCTGCACTAGTTACTACCTGCTGCTGTCACCCTATGAGTCAGCTCCCATCTGCTCTGGGACGCCCCAGAGAGCAGACCCAGGCAGCCTCCTCCAAGGCTCCCAGGGCCCCAGGCCTTATTCAACCCCATTCTCCCCTTTGCCCCCATACTCAGGGGAGCAAAGATGAGTCCAAAGGTAGGCATCTGGGGCCTTCTTTGGTGCCTCCAGGAATGCCAGCACCACCTATGTATCCTTGGGGACTTTTTGTGCCCATTCCTAGGGGGTCCAACCACCCAGCCCTTCCCACTTCCCAATTTTCAGTCAGTTCCTTACTAGCAGCAGGGCAGCAAACTGCTCGCTGTCATTCTTGGCCTCACGGAGGGCTCCCAGGTAGCGCTCCAGGGTGGGGTTTCGGCTCTCTGCCTGGTTCAGAGCTGGCTCGCAATCCGAGGCCATGATGCCCGCCTTGCCCAACTGTGAACACAAGAGGGACTGAGCATCCCTCTGCAGAGGAGGGGTGGGGGTGGGAGTGGAGGATGGAGGGAGGGATTAGCACAGAGGGAGGGACCAGGAGGGATGGGTTGCACAAGACTGACCTCCCTTGTGGCAGCCCCTTAAAGGCACTGGACCCTCAAGTCCTTAGGGATGAAGAAGGGACCCTGGTCCAAGGTCACCTCCAGAAAGCGGGAAGGAAGGGCCATGCATCCTGCTGCTCAGCTGGACAGCTCTCCTTACCAATTTCCCAGGAGTGGGAGGGGGCTGGCCCCACTGCTCAGCTGGCCCCTGGTACCAGAGGCCTGGTTTTATCTCCCTCCACCCAGGCACACCAGGAGGGAGTGGTGAGGACAGACAGGAAGGAATGGAGACGTACATGGGTGAAGTTCGATTATCCGGACTCAGGCTGACATGAGGGAAAAGGGCATCCTAGGTTTCCCTTCCCCTCCCTTCTCCAGAACAGGCAGAAGACAAGCTTCAGCAGAAGTGAGGATGCAGGGTGCTGACCAGGGACGGCTTGGGGGCCCCTCTGGGGACCCCACCCCTCCAGCCAGGGCTCTCAATCGCCCCCGCAGGCTCCTTGCCTCCTCTCCTTTCCCTCCCTCGGGTAGAAGCTGCAGCAGCAGAAGCAGCAGCAGCAGCAGCAGCAGCAGCAGCAGCAGAAGCACCAGCAGAAGCACCAGCAGAATTAACCCTTTGCGTTCCCTCTCCTCGCCCTCCCCGCCCCGCTACCAGCCTGTGGATGCCGGCAGGGGCTGGAGAAGCAAGAAGGGGTCCCGGGCAGCTCCCAGGACAACGGAGAATCCAAAAGCCGGATAATCGAAGCGGGGCTGCTGAGATGGGGAGATGAGAAGGGGAAGAGGGTTCCTGGCGGTCACCACCTGTCCCGCCGCAGCCAGGTCACAACACGACATTGATGAAGTCACGACAGGGCGGCGATGAGATCACACTTCACGATGGCGCGGTGATGTCACGGAGAGATCACGGCAAAAATCACGACATGGACAGCCCCCAAAGATGACAGGGCAAATTAAAAATATATATATAGGTATATATTGAAAAGGGCTGTGACAAAATGGAGTCTCGACAGAGCACGATGATGTCGCGATATGGCGCGATGGAGTCGCGATAGGGTCCCCGGGGTGTGTCGGCATCGATCAGCGCCGGCTCGGCGAGGCCCCGGCTGGGATGCAGGGGAGGGCCTGAAGGGGGCTGAGCTCACCAGGCTGCGGCCCCGAGCGGCGAAATCTTCTCCGAGCGCGACGCTCCGGGAGCCTGGGGCCGCTGCTCACGCCGCTTTGCCCACTCCCGGCTCCAGGCGGCTGCAGCTCCACCCCCACCCCCGCAGCCCTCTCGACCAATCCGCGGCAGCTTCACTCCAGGCTCTGGCCAATGGCACGCCTGGGCGCTAAGCCGTAGGGGGAGCTGCCGTTGCCGCCATCTTGCTTGTGGGTATTGCCCGAGTCTGGGGCCTGGGGCTCGCGGAGGGCCGGCGAAGGAGCACACTTCCTGTGGAGAGCGGGAGGCGACAGCCTGGGGGCCCAGGTTCCTTCGCTCGTGCGTAGTTCGGTCCCTCAGCGCTGCCCCTCCTCCCCCTCGGGCTCGCGGCGGGAATTGAGCTTCCGGGGGGGGGCGGGGGGGCTCAGGAGGGCTGGGTAGCATGAAGAGTGTGTTTCCGGGTTGAGCCCGGGGAGGTGGGAGGAGGCGGCGTTTCCGGCCGCGGTCGCTGTCCTGGGAGGCTGAGGCGAGAGGGAGCTGTCCGGGTGGGGAGCCCGCGCTACCTTCTTCCTTTTCCTCCTCCTCCTCCTCCGGGTGAGGGGAGCGAAGGTTGGGGCCCCGACCCCATGGACCGGGAGGAGGCGGAGGCTGCCGAGAGCCGGGGCCCCGCTGTGTGGCCCTGAGCCCCGGTAGGTGGCCGGGGGCGGCTGGCTGCCAGGCCGAGGGCCACGAGCTCAGGGGAGGGGCAAGCGGGACAGGCTATTTCTGAGGGTGCGCTGGCCGGGTGTTGGGACCCGGAGGTGGCGCTCCTGGCCCGGCGAGGGCAGCCAGCTGCTTCTGGCTTTTTGCAGGTGCGGAGCTCGAGTCCCAGGCTGAACCCCGTTTCTCTCGGGCCCGGGCCTGGTCGTGCAGCATCCTCCATCCCTTGACAGACTGACCGGGCTCGGGGCGCCGCTGTCCTTCCTCCTTCGACTTCTGCAGCCTCGCCCTTAGCTGCTGTCTCTTGTGTTTGGTCTCCCCACCAAGATAGAAAGTTGATGCAGAATTAGGGGGGCGGGGCTGAGCACGGTGTGTAAATTACCATGCGAAACCTGCCTTCTTCCGGACTTAGAAAATTCTTTCCCGGGGAGGGGTTCTGTGGTGTCTGCAGTGAGCACAAAGGTGAAACGAAGGAAGTCAAAACAGAAAAACCTCAGGCGGTTCTAGGAGAGCTTTTCCTTCTCTCGCCTCCTGGTGCTTGTGCTCAACCGACCATAGATGCAGTTAGTGAAGAGCATTAGCTGACTGTCCTTGTGCTTTCTTCTGTGATTAACAGACTGGGAGCTAGGAACAAATTGGAAAGACGACCTCCCAGAACAATCTGTTCATTTTTCCAGCTATTTGGAAAACAATGTCTGCAAATACAAGCAGTTATTCATGGCAGTCTGTTCTGTAACTTTCCCAAATATCTTGAGACTTTTTTTTTTAAAGAGCTTTATTCTTGAGAGCTTGTTGATTACTCATACCAGCTGAATAGGCTGTTTCAGACTTGCTCTGTCGTTGTTCAAACATATCGCTGTGTACATAAATGGAGTTCCACGTATGTAGCTGACAGACTGAACTATGATACATCCCCCATCAACCTGAAGTATTAAGTAAACATTACCCCCTGCTCTGTCTGAACAGCTGCTGCAACAGAGAGTGCTTTTATTTCGGGTGTACTTGTAACGCCCTAAATGCCAAAACTATTGCAAGCTTTTCTAGATTTTCGTTTGTCAGGTATTGTGGGGGTGTGTGTTCTCTCCCTGGGTTTTTACCCTTTGATTCTATAACACACCGTTTGGATCTTGGTATGTGTTGTTCTTGCCTCTGGTCAGCAAGGCTTTGACGACCCAGCAGTGATTTGTGCCCTTAGGCAATTGTAGATTTATTTCAGAGGCATGGCTGGTTGGGAGTTCACATGAAAAGAGCTCTGCCTCTGTCTTATGCATGGCTTGTAAGACATTGCACTTCTAATCAGCTTGCTAATTCAATGGTGTTTATTACTCCCATTTTCAAAACCTATTCATTTCTTTTATGCTTCTGTCGCCCACCTGTCATGCTATTGATGACAGGTGTTGAGTCACTTTGAGTTTAAATCCTTTTGTGGTAGGCAGAAATGTGTTGGGTAAGATCCGTACACACACACACACACACACATGCACACTCGCTGTTCCATCTTGGGAGGCTAGAGAAGTTGCTGGATAGACTTTCTAACTTAGGCTCCATTTCATAATCTCTTGAACATGTCACTGGCCCACACATCTTTCAGCTCCCTGCTTCCTAATATAAAACTTCAAAACTACTGGAAATCAGAATGGATGGAAGTGAATGAGAAAGAAGTCCTTCAGATGCTTGAGGCTCGGTGAAAGCCTTTTCTTGGTTGGGCTGTACCTCAGTTTTGCAGCTGTGTGTGGATGTCTGTGTGTGCATATGTCTATTTCCTGATATTAGTCAATATTGATATCCAACCCATGTGATGCCAATCTCCTTGTATGCTGCCTGCGGTTGGGGGTTGGAGTCATTTGCCACACGTGGGTGACAGAAGAATTTGAATTGCTTCAGAACCCAACCAACCCTCATGGTATTGCCAAAATTTATACAATGTAGGGAAGTTGTATAAGAGAGATGAAACAGATGAAAATCATTTTTTCTCTGGAAGGGACCTAAATTATCCAGCTCTTAGATTCCGGAGTAGTCAGCATAATGTCTAGCACATAATAAGGGCTGTGCAAATATTTGTTGAGTGTATCTGTGAATTCAAGTCAGGGATTGCAAATGATTCTAGGGATCAGGGAGGTGACATCAAAATGTACCTTGGATAGATTTTTAAGATTATAGTGGTGGGGCAGTAGTAAACTGGAGAGTGCATGTGTTTCCTAAAGACAGTCACATGAAAATTTTTTTTAAAGCACAGCTAGACAAAACTCTCAGGTGCGCACCTCTGTAGTCCAAACTCTTCATAGATAAGAAAGTGTGTTTGGTCAAAGTCAGAAAGCTCTTAGTAGCAGAACTGGAACTGAAACTCAGATCTTCTTTTCTTTAGGCAGGTGCTTTTTCCATTCTTCCACACAGGTGATTTACTGTTAGCTTAGAAAATAATAGAATGTAAAATGTTTCAGTTTTACAGTGGATTCATTTCATATCCCTTGCTATGTTTTTATCCTGATAATTACAGGCTTTGTCAAGGCTCAGGTTTAAAATTTACGGGCAGGTATGAGAAGTGAAAGACAAACTTGAAATATCTCTTCCCTCTTATCTGTCACATTCTCTAGCACTCTACATTTCCAGGAATCAATTATTAATTACTTGGCATATAACTTCTTCCCTTTCTGTCTTTATAGTGAACTGGTTCCGCCTGTCTGGAAGGCCATGGAGAAGAGGCTGGGAGTCAAGCCAAGCCCTGTTTCCTGGATTTTATTGGGATTTTGTTGGCAGATATCCGTGAAATGGTTGAGAAGCCTGTACCTGTTTTATACTTGCTTCTGCTTCAGTGCTCTGTGGTTGTCAACAGGTACCATTTTCTTTATAGATTTAAGATTAAAAGGGCACTCTTTGAGAGTCTTTCAGTTCATATTAAAGACTAGTAGGAGGCAGAAAACTAATCTGCTAATTGACAGAAATGGTCATCCTTTTGTGTTTTGTTTTGTTTTAAGATTTTATTTATTTATTTGTCCGAGAGAGAGAGAGAGAGAGAGAGAGAATGAGAGCGCACAAGCAGGGGGAGCGGAAGGCAGAGGGAGAAGCAGGCTCCCTGCTGAACAAGGAGCCCGATGCAGGGCTCAATCCCAGGACCCTGAGATCATGACCTGAGCCAAAGGCAAATGCTTAACCAACTGAGCCACCCAGGCGTCCCAATGGTTATCCTTTTGGTGGACATTTAGTTTGTTGGGTTTATTTGTTTTGGAAACACAAAATTGGGTTATTTTTTGTAAAGGGGAATTGGCACGATCATTTTAAGATTTGGTGAAGATGTAATGAAAAGAAAAACATTTGGGGGCGCCTGGGTGGCTCAGTCGTTAAGCGCCTGCCTTCGGCTCAGGTCATGGTCCCAGGGTCCTGGGATTGAGCCCCACATCGGGCTCCCTGCTCCACGGGAGGCCTGCTTCTCCCTCTCCCACTCCCCCTGCTTGTGTTCCCTCTCTTGCTGTATCTCTCTCTGTCAAATAAATAAAATCTTAAAAAAAAAAAAAAGAAAAGAAAACATTTGAAAGTTGGAAAGACCTGGGTCCTGGAGCTGGATGTTTCTACTTAATAACTATGAAACCTTGAGCAATTTACCTATCGTCTGTAAAGAAGGATAAGATTTACCTTATAGCTTGATATGAGAGACACTGTAGTTAAAGTCTGTTGTACAGCCCTGTGAACATAGGTGCTCAGTAAGTGATACTTTGCTTCCTTTCCTAAAGGACTCTTCACTTGTAGGAAGTGAAGCCTAGTGAAGTGTGTTCCTTGCTTTTTCTATAGAAAGGGGTTATGCTGATAGATTTCATAAAGTATACTTTCCTCATAGAGATTATTTTGCCAGGCTAGAACCTTTTGCCAGGAAAGAGTGTGAAGAAGGTTAAATTTCAGAGAGTCCTCTTTCTTTCTGTCAATTTTTTCTTTCAATTCTTTTGTTGACGTTGTTCTTTTCGGATTATGGAATGTGAGAGCACAGCAGTTTCAGAAAGACTTCTCAGTATGGTGCCATTCTTGGCGGTGACAAAAGCCTTGTGTTGTAGAGTCCACTGTCTGGGATAACTAATCAGCCTTTTGCTCCTGTAATTCCAAAGATTTCTGTTGCTTTCCTAAAGGAATTGGTGGTCATGATCTAGAGAATCAAGTAATTACTGTAGTTAGCAATTTCAGTAACATCAGCTTTGGGGTTTTTGTTGTCTTGCAGTGGTGGTTGATGATTGCATAATTATAGCAGTGGAAACTGCAGTTGACAGAAAGCTGACCTAAATGTTTTTTTACCCAGATGATGCTTTGCTGGGACACTAACTATTTCAGGCCAACATTTTATGTAAGATCATTTGAGTTAAATAAGTAACTGATTTAGCACTATCAGAGTAGGAAAATCTCATTTTTTGAAGAGTACGTACCAAATACCAGGCCCTTGGTTATAAACATTACATATCTTATCTCACTTAATCCCCATGATAATCCTAAAGCAGATATCTCATTTTATACATAAAGAAATTGAGGCCCAGAGAGGCAAAATGACTTGACCAGGATCACACAGCAAGAACACAGCAGAGCCAGGAGTCTAAATCCACGTCTGTTCACTCAATAGCCTGTGCTCTTTTTCTTCTGCTATTCTGCCTTCCAACCACAGGTAATCTTTTGGAGGACCAAAGACAGTTTTTTATGCGGAACCATGATGAGCAGCTTGTTATTTGAGGAATTCCATGTACAGGGGAGGGAGAAGCGTTTCTGAGTGTTTCTGTATTTGTAGTCTAGCATTTGGTTAAACAGAGCACTGTGGGCTTACTGGGCTAGGCTTTAATATCCCCTCAGCTGTGTGCTTAAAAACAACAGTGAGCAGATTGAGTATAGACGTGCAAATGTGGTATAGGAGTGGTTTTGGTGGGGATTAGATTGTACCGGTTTCATTTTAGAGAAGTTTGGAGCTTCTACCATGGAAGAACCAAAAACCATGTGTGTTCAAACTGAGGGAACATGCAGGTAACATATGACAGACAGAATTGTTATGTATTTTAATTTATCAGAACTTTTTCACATCAGTTTTTTAACAAACATAATATCTTAATAGAAAAAAATGAATAAATGACAAAGAGAGAAAAAAAGGTATGTACAGGGAGTACCATAAATAAGAAATTAAAATGATTTATAAGCATTCAAAAAATGTACATACTCATTACTAACCAAAGAACTGCAGATTAAATTTTTTTCTAATTGAGTAATCTCGGTCCCAGTGTGGGGGTCACACTCACAATCCCAAGATCAAGATTCCCATGCTCCACTGACTGAGCCGGCCAGGTGCCCCCAGAGAACCTCGGTTTAAAACGAGAGATCTTTTTTTAGCTTATCATATTGATGAAGATCAAAGTAAATAAATTTAGTGCTGCCTAGGGGTGATGTGGTTGCCCTCATACTGTGCTGGGAAGTTTGAACAGAGAACTTTTGGCGTAAATATCGAGATCCTTAAAAAGTTAATATCTTTTGACCTGGTAATTCCCCTTTTAGGAGTTTATGTCAAGGATATATTTAGGTGGTTGTGAATGAGAACGTTCATCAACACTCATTTATTCTACGTTGCAAAACATTGCCACAACCTGCCCAACAGTAGGAGCGTGGTGAGATGGCATGTCCACATGTGAAATGTTATCCAACTTCAAAATTCACCATTTAGAAGAATAAGTACATGGGAAATGCTCTTAATGTTCAATGATAAAAGCAGGATATACAACTGCACATTCACGATGGTGCCCATTTTGTGAAAAGAGAAAAATAGTTTTGTATAATAGAAAGTCTGAAACAAGATACACAATTAAATGTTTATATATTTTTTTGAGTAGTGGAATTATTATCTCTATACAGTTTTTGTGTTTTCCAGATCTTTTTTCTGTGTACATGTATAACTTTTTTAATAAGGGGCTGGGGGAACCTACCTGAAACCTGAAAAAGCAACACCAGAATAATAGCAGCAAAAACCTGGCATTGGCAGCCTGAGTCGGTTTTTATCTACTTGTGAGTTTGTTCAGTTTTTAACCGAGCTCTTAAGTTTTTTCTAATAAGATACATTCTTGTTTGTTTGCTGTTGTCATTTAGCTTATAGGTTATATGGATTATTCCTGAAAAACTAACCAAAATCAGGCAGCTCCCTTGTTATTCCTGTTTACTACTTGGCAGTTTACTCCATCTCCATCAGAACCCCAGGCACCCACTGACTTACATATAGTGAGCTTGTTTTTGATTTCAACTTCTGGGTTCAGTGCCGAAGCCCACTGCTAGAAAGCAGTGATTACAATTTGTCTGACAAAAGATGCTCTGTGTTTTCCTTATGGACCATTGAATCACTATTTTTCTGTTTAATGTTATTGTTAAATGGCTTAAAAATAGCATTTTGGACTTGGGGATTATCAGTATCAGCAGATGAAAGTGAGGTGACACCAAGAATTTGGAAATTTCTCTAGTAGGTATCAGCGTCTTAGGGCAGAAGTTTTGCCTGTTTTACTTACATTAGGTATTCCCAGCAAGTACTGAGTGCTTGGCAGATAGTAGGTGCACCATAAAAAACATTTGTTGACTGAATAAATTAATAAATTAGAAATAAGGAAATTGTCCTTTGAGAATTAAACTTTAAAATTAACATAACCTATCATTTGAGAGTTAAAGCTTAAAATTAACACAGAGCAGAGGTACGTGAAGGTACCTTAAGGAGACACCTGCCTTTGAGAGAAACAAGATCTGATTCAAATATTCACAAATATGTTAACATATCTAAAGAAAGAATACGTACATCTCAAGAGTTCTGTCTGCATGTGTGTGGGAGGTGAGAGGGCCTGAACCAGCATTGGAAAGCTAAACCATGGAGAGTCACAGAAGCTCCTGTAGGCCTAAAGCTAACAACTGGCTATGAACACTTTCACTGACATTCCCCTGCTGCTGTGAAGTAGATTACACAATCAGTTAATGAGTAAGTTCAGAGAAGTATTCAATTCAGAACCAGTTTTTGAGAGCATAACTAGCAGTCTGGTCCTAGGCTAGGAATGAGGGTAATAAAGATCAGAACAACGCAGTACAACACTCCCTGCCCTGGAAGAACTCCCAGTTCCGTGAGGGCGATGGATGCTTCAGACCTGTGCCGTGGTAGGTGAAAAGGCAGAGGGATGCAGTGCTGCTCTCTGTTCCCCTTCCAGCCGATGCTCTGCACTTCCTAATTATTCGCCCCTCACTCCCTTGTCAGCTGGTTCCTGCAGTGTTTTGTTCTTCAGGGTTCTGTTTCTACCCTTTCTTGTGTCACTCTTGTGTGCTCCCCCTGGACAACCTCATTTTTTCCCATAACTGTGCTCTTGACTCCCAAATCTATAGCTGTTCGTTTACTCCTTTCCAGAGCACAGAGCCACCTGTACGTCACACTTTTCCAACTGGATGTCTCACAGCTACCTCTCACTTAATGTATCAAGACCAAACCCGTGGTCCTTTGCCCACCTCCACTTGAAATCCCTGAGTCATTCCACACTCCTTTCTCTCCTCCACATTCGAATCACTGTTCGTAGAATCCTGTCTCATGCTTCCATGCAGAGTGCTCTGTTCCTCGGCATATGCTATTACTGTTCTCACTGAGGGATTCTGATTCAGGTAAACATAAGCTCCTTTCTGACACGTTCCCTGAGTCCCTTGGTTTGAACTTACTTTTTAATGTTCTCGTAGAGTCTGTGCATCTTTGTATTATACCATGCTATACTGTGTGGTTTTAGGCTGTGTTGAGGAGAGCTTCAGAGGAGGTCTTGCTCTAAAGTGTGGTCCATAGTCCTAAGGGGAGGCCTTTCTGGTGTCTGCTGG